TACAGCTTAAAGGGGCTAATAATTTTGATCTTAAAATGGCGTTTAAAAAATTAAAAACTGCTTTTATTCTAAACAAAATAAAACAAATAAGACTTTCTCCAATGTTATCAGACATACTGTGAAAATTTCCTTGCTCTGTTAAACATCATTTGAGAAATATTTAAAAAAGAAAAAAATATATATATTTTTTCACACCTGGATTTGGAGATCCTCTACCATTCCTCCTTGCAGATCCTCTCCAGTTCTGTCAGGTTGGACGGTAAATGTTGGCAGGCAGCCAGGATTCTGCAGAGATACTCAATTGGGTTTAAGTCAGGGTTTTGCTGGGCCGTTCAAAAAGAGTTTATTTGCCAAAACAGATCATTCCTAATTTTTACATTTACATTTTCAGACGAAGATCAACATTGTATAAACATGATTTATGGAAATTACTGAAGGTGGACTGATTTATGTCCATAGGAGAATCTTGAGGGAACCAGCTGTAAATTAGTCTTCAGCTATTTATTTAGCACTGCTATTTACAGATATTCACTTGACACTTGCATTTTGCCAACTGCATCAGAATTAATTATATAATTTGTTTGTGTTTGTATGAAGGTATCAGAGGAACCTGCTGTTCCACAGATTCTGGTCAGTGGATGACAAGCAGTTGCAGACTGAATACAGTGCGCTGCGCTCCATAGTGGTGGCCAACTATGAAGAAACTGTCAAAATGCCAATCAATGAACCAGCCATGGGAAAGCGCAAGTCTCAGATCCAGGCACGTATTACAAACATGACATCTGCTTACAGTCACCTCTTCATGCAGGGATCCATCCGTTCATCCGACCGTCTTTTTATCTTTTAGGAGTATGTGGAGTACTATGGTGGAGCGGGGGTTCAACACATCGCTATGAACACCTCTGACATTATTTCAGCTGTGAGTAAACTACAGACAGATTTCACACTAATGGATTCATTGAGAAGACCCTATTATTCTTAGTGTAAAACCATTTTAAAGAAACACTTTGAAAATAGGCATATTTCTAAGTCCCCTAGAGGTTAACAAATGAGTGAGTTTTACCATTTTTTAAATCCCATTCATCTGCATCATCAAGCATTTTTAGCTTAAATTGCATAAATCATTTAATCGAATTAGGCCATTAGCATCTTGCTAAAAAACATATTTAAAAAAAGGGTTTCAATAATTTTCCTGTAGGGGTTTCCAATAATTTTAATTCAGCCGACAAAATGATATTTCTCAGCACTATTACCTAGTTAACAACCTGGGGACTATTTTCAGTTACTGCATAAAATCATTGCACCTGCTGCAGCCATGATACGGTGGCCTTTTTATTCTACCTATCAGATTATGCTACCAACACTGTATTTGAATGGCTCTGAGGTTGGGATTAGGGATTAGGTAGGTTAGGGCAACTTCATATCACAGTAATCCACATTAAAATTTACACTGGTAGCAAAATCTTATAGTTAGCACATTGCGTCATAATAATGTGCTACCTACTTTTTCAATGGGAGGTAGGACAATCGGACAAGATAGGAGAAATCGACAGAACAATGGCAGCAAAGTTCCTTGATTATTCCTTGAATGAGAGTATAGTTCCTAGCCATATCTGCCTAGAAAATAGCTACTATTTTCTAACGGTTCTAATGGATGCTAATGGTCTAATCCGATTCAATGATTTATGCTAAGCTAAGCTAAAAGAGCACACAGCAGACCCAGAGATCAAATGAATGGATTTAGAAATGGTAAAAACAAACTGTGGTGTTGTGAAATGAGCCAACTTAATAATCTAAAGATTTTTTTTTTTAACTTTAAAAAACATTTTGTGAATGATGGAAAGGTTCCATGATTATTTCACCAATAAAGAATGCTTATTTGTTATGAATGTTAGAATTCTGATTCACTGACACAGGCCTGCTTTTAGATCCGTAACCTAAAGGAACGTGGTATGGAGTTCATGAGTGTTCCTGACACTTACTACCAGCAGCTCAAGGAGAAACTGAAGCTTTCCAAAGTCAGAATCATTGAGGACCTCAACATACTGGAGGTGGGATGAAAGTTCTTCCTGTTAAAATACAATAAAAAGTACAGTATTTTGAAGTAGCTTACTGTCAGTAGTATCTGCTACATTTGAATTGTCTTTATAGCATCTATCAAAAATGTATTTTAAGTGGCAGGTCTGAATGTAAAAATAACATGTTTTATTTTTTACAGGAACTTAAAATCCTGGTGGATTACGATGACAATGGTTACCTGCTCCAGATCTTCACCAAACCAGTGCAGGACAGACCTACTGTGTTTTTAGAAGTCATTCAGAGACACAACCATCAGGTAAGACACATGTCGTTTTTCCCGCAATTGTATCAGAACATGCATTAGCTCAGAAATGTCTCCCTTTATCTTCCTATGTAGAAAGTAAACAATGTATGTAAATAAAAATATGTATTCATCTGTCTCTTTCAGGGTTTTGGGGCTGGAAATTTCAAATCCCTGTTTGAGGCAATTGAAGCTGACCAGAATGCAAGAGGAAACCTCACCATTCTTACACCTAATGGCACAACAGAAACACTCTGAACAAGTGATTCAAAGCATGGTTCTCAAAAACATGCACAGTAAACTTGATAATGATTTACTTTATCAAGCGTGTGCCATTCATAATAATTTGTACCCAAATGTTTCTTGAACTACAGACGTATTTAAACCTTTTTTTTAATAAATGAAACACCATTTCCCCTTGACTCCCATATAAAAACTGATCATGGTTTTATGATAGTAAAGCTGTAGTTTTGCAGTATATTGATTACCATTTGAAGAACCACAAATTTAGTATTTTCTATTTGTAGTAAAATCATGGTTAATTTTTTCAAGAGCTTGTTTAAGCTAATTTCATTGTTTGCATTGTATGACTCCATATCCACTTAATTTGAAAGTCAAGCACAATAAAATACTATTTTTACTTTTAATTTCATCACACATGATGTCTTATTCATCTCAAACTTCGTCACTGGCTCCCTCTTCCTTAGGAAAAAATGTAGTAAGTATAGGATGTATAAATAGTTGTGAAAATAATCAGGTTGTGACAATAATTTAATGTTGCTTGCAATTAGAAAGTCATGCAATTTGAATAATTTTAATGTTCAAATTGCAAGCATATAAAAATATATAACACATATGTTTGTAGTTCCTAATACCACACACTACTGGTTAAGAAAATCTTCAATATGCATACTTACAATGAGATAGCGAGATTCACCTGCATTCACCAAAGACTCCCTTTTAAAACTTTTCACAACAAATAATAAAAGTCAGTTATCACCTACTGTACAATACCAAAGGATTAGCATTAGCTGATCAAACTGAAGTACCCTTCTCATCTTTCGGATGAGACGTTAAACCGAGGTCCTGACTCTCTGTGGTCATTAAAAATCCCATGGCACTTCTCGTGAAAGAGCAGGGGTGTAACCCCGGTGTCCTGGCCAAAGTCCCTCTATCGGCCCTTACGATCATGGCCTCCCAATCATCCCCTTCCACTGAATTGGCTCGATCACTGTCTCTCCTCTCCACCAATAGCTGGTGTGTGGTGAGCGCACTGGCGCCGTTGTCCTGTGGCAGCCGTCGCATCATCCAAGTGGATGCTGCACACTGGTGGTGGTGTGGAGAGACCCCCCTCATGATTGTAAAGTGCTTTGGGGTTTATGGCCATACACAATAAATGCGCTATATAAATACACATTACATTACATTACATTACCCTTGACATGAAGCACAAAACAAAATAATGCATCATGAAAATGTGACATATTGAACTGTGTCTTAGAGTATACAGTTTTAAACCAAATGGAAGATATATAAATATGTAGCCAGGTAGTTTCTTTTGCAGTAAAGTAAGTATTAAAGTGAGCAGAAATTCAAAACAAATTTGGAAAAATACATATATTTTTATTTTCATTTATATTTCACAATAAAACTCATGAAATTAAGCAACATGATATGAAAACCACATGTAACCACTGAAATAAATATGACCTGAAATTCTTGAACATTTTTCAAATGCAATCAACCAGAAAATAAAACCTGATCTTTTGACATTGACCAGGAATGTTATGCCTTATGAACACTCTAAAAGAATTCCTTAAAAACGCAGCCTAATGAACTGTACATTACCTGACAAATGTCTTGTTGCCTATCCAAGCTTAAGGAACAACAAATAATAACTTGACTTAGTTGATCATATGGTATCAGTAGTGGCTTATATGAAAGGCAAAAGCCCCTAGATTACACTTATTTTACCTAAATAAAATATGATCATGCCTTGATTTATAATTATTTAATTAGGACAGTAAGGTCTGACTAATAATGTTAAGTATAGAATATAAAATCATGGTGCAGTGGAAAAAAATTAATATTGTGTATGACTCCCATGAGCTTGGAGGACTGCATCCATACATCTCTGCAATGACTCAAATAACTAATTAATAAAGTCATCTGGAATGGCAAAGAAAGTAATCTTCCAGGACTCTCATCTTCAATGCCTCCTCTTTCATCTTACCCCATACATGCTCAATAATGGTCATATCTGGGGACTGGGCTGGCCAATCCTGGAGCACTTTGTCCTTCTTTGCTTTGAGGAACTTTGATATAGAGGCTGAAGTATAAGAAGGAGTGCTATCCTGCTGAAGAATTTGCCCTCTCCTGTGGTTTGTAATGGGCATCACAAATGTCTTGATACCTCAGGCTGTTAATGTTGTCATCCACTCAAGAGATGGAGATCTCTTGTACGCCGCCATACTGAATGTAACCTCAAACCATGATTTTTCCTTCATCAAACTTGACTGATTTCTGTGAGAATCTTGGGTTCATGCAGGTTCCAATAGGTCTTCTGCAGTATTTGTGATGATCGGGATGCAGTTTAACACGTTTCCTCTGAAAAATCTACTTTCTGCCATTTTTCCAAATGATCAACTAGAAGTCAGGTTAATATTTGTTTCTCTTACAACTGAGATCGACGACTTTTGTCAGGTAGTGTATTAATCTAAAGAAGGATTCTATGTTTTAATTTTAAATGATGTTTTACCAGTTCTAAATTGTGTTTTCCTTTGTGTAGTGTTCAGGGTTAAAGTAAATGTTTCAATACTTTACCTGAACAAAATGTTGTGCTTAAAAACAGGTTCATGTTTACTGCTAATACTTTGAATGTGTTAGATGAGCTCTTGTCTAGTTGAGGGTTCCTCTACAGTTCTCCGCAGCACACAGACAGGGGATTTTCTCATCCTCAATAGGAAATTTGTAATCGTAAGTGATCTCTTCATTTACAGTGATAGGTTGTCGTGAGTAGATGACAATCTTCTTCTGAGCCTCTACAGTGATGACTTTGGCATAGCAGTTTGGCTACAGAAGGAAAAGCACATGAATAAAACAGTAAGTTTAAAAAAGGAAATCAAATAGCCAAACAAGAAAATGAAACAATTGTTTGATTTTCTGACAATGACTAAAATATTTCTGGTCATACATTGCAACTGTGGTTGATGAATCTTGCCAGATTACCACACTTGGTTGCATCAATGATGGTGTCGTGGTCCACCCGGAAAAGATAGCTGCTTCCAATGCCTTCAGTTTCATAACGCCTTTCACGCATGTCTGCTATTACCTACAGACAGAATTTAAGAAATCATGATAACAATACCAAATGGTGATGCTCTGGGTAATTGTAAAGTGTTTTTGTTCAGATGAAAGTGTATTTGGGGAGGCTATCATGTAGTTGCTAAGGTTTTTGAATGGATGTTAGGATGAGGCAATTGGGTGTGCGATATTAACAAAACAAAATCACAATATTTCGGGGTACTTTTATAGATTACAATAATTACAGTGTATATTTGTTATAGTACCTTTGGTGGTATAGGCTTTTTATGATTAAATAAACATGACACCAAAACCAGTAAATTCAGGTATAAAGCTCTGTAGTGTTGTTCTGAGATATATAAATATTTATTTTTCCTCAATCACATTCGCAGTCTCTCTTTTATGATATTACTTTAACTTTTTTTGCTTGCATATCTTCAATTATAGGCACATTTTCAAAAACAACTAAAAAAATAAACAGCAACTTTATATATATTTTTTATATAAAGTGGTTGCTAGGGTGTTGTTAGGATATTCTGCATGATTGTTTAGATGTTGCTATGCAAATGCAACTTGCTTAGCGAGTTGAAACTATTTTCTGTAGTGTGCTAAAGTCTCAAGTTATGCTGGGCTCACTTCACACCAAAGTAGATTACATACTAAGTTGATGCAAACACACCAATATAGGAAAAAATATTTGTTGCTCTGGGGTGCGTTTTTTTGTCGCAGATCCATCATTTGAACCACATTAGTTATAATGTAAAATGCCCATAATGATGCTCTAAACGGGGTGGAGTAACTACTTCTTTAGAGAACCCCATCATTTCTTTGTGCAAATTATTTTGTTTTACACAGACACGCATTTAAAATAAAATTCCAATATTAGTTTTGATAAAAACATGCACTCGCTTTCCATATTAATTGAAATGTATGTAAATGGCACAGATAGGGCTTATGTTTCCTTTACAGATATTATTGAGAACATTATATATTCTATTGTAAAACATAAAACCACTTACAAAAGCTAACACGTATTCTAATATCATACATAAATCATAAAAGTAATTAAACAATGAGGCTATTTATTAAAAAATTAAATTTTATATTTATTATTTATTAGGAAATGAAAAAAATCATACTTTAATAATAATATTAACGATAAATATGTATATAAGAAATATTATTATTATTATTAAGTAGGATATATATATATACGCTTTAAAAAAAAAATTTGAATTCTACTTTAAAATTTGACATGCAAACCACTGCAGAAAAGTTCTAACCAACAGGCCCATGTCACATACAGTACAGATACATTTCTTATTAAATAACCTACTATAAATTAAAAGCATTAACGTATGCTATCTATTTTTGTTTTCACAAGCTTTAAAGACGTAACATAAATTCCGTCATCATGAGCCACAGCTGTGTTCGAAATGACATTGTTGTTTTCAAAGTGCACTACGAAGGGTGCGCAATTGTCAATATGAAGATTACTAAAATTAAACTGTAAAAATACTTTAATTTGCTTTCTAAGAAGATAACTGGGAATAGAACACAGAAAGGAACTATCTGTTCTAACTACAGCTTCAGAGGTGTAGTTTCAAGTGTCCAAATCACACACTCATACACTAAGGTCAATTTTAGCATACCCAATTCACCTGTACCATGTCTTTGGATTTCCGGGGAAACCGGAGCACCCCAGAGGAAAACTCCACACAGAAAAACCAACTGACCCAGCCGAGGTTCTAACCAGCAACCTTCTTGTTGTGAGGCGAACGTGCTACCACTGCACCACTGCGTCGCCCATCGGAAAACTCAGTAAAAACTTCCTGTGATTAAACTAGAGCTAGTGATGCATTTCGTGGTTTCTCTTCGTGATCTCATTGCATTTGGTGTGAACCCAGCATTAGAGTTCTTTGGAGTACAGCTTTATATCTCACCTGCCGAATACTCTGGCCCACATATTCAATTATCATTTCATCTGCAGCAATGGGCTCCTCCGCAAAAAGCCCCCAGTCATGAATACGACTCTTGCCAAAACGGAGCCTCTTTTTGCGGAACTGTAAAGTGGACAACATATATTTAATTAAACATGTATGCTCCTTGTACCAAAAAAACGAGTAGGGCAAACTGTACTGTAGTAGAATCTTGATATTCAAGAACAAAGCTTTTGATGTTTTTAGATTCTCCATATTTTAAGACTGCTGGTCTCACCTTGAGCTGGTTGAATTTCAGGAGGTCACTGTCACAGCTGAATGAGGACAACAGGCGGCGCTGTTCTGCTCTGAGTTCAGAGCCTGATCTGGATGAATGTGAAACCTGTGCTGAAACACTCTTTCCCTGCATTGATCAGAACATAATTACTGTAAATGACTTTCAGTAGTGAAATAAGTATACAGTAAGATTATTAATATAAAGAGGTTTGTCTAAATTCTTAACTTTTATTCGTTGTATGTATATTGTTTTGGATTTAGTGTTTGTTCAAACAATTATTTTATTTTATTGCTAAGACGTTTGCATTTAATGTAAATTATGCAAACCATGAACTTTGCTTTGGTCCACACTGGACATGTTCTGTCAACTCTGTAAAACTAGACATACTAAAACTAAAACAGAAACTAACTATAGACAAAGCATAGAAATGAGTTCACAACATAAACTAAGGGTGCTTTCACACCAGTGAATCGATTCATTTGTTCTGAAACAGAAACTGTTAAATTGTTGCTCTTTGCTCTTGTTGCGTTTCGCTTTCACACATCAAAGTTTCTAAACGGACCAAAAGAGCTAAAACAAATCATGTATGAGTAAACTCTCCTCTAATTGGTCAGAGTTACATGGTTTATTTTGCAGAGTGCAGCTCAGCTGTCAGGAGGAGGTGGTGGTTTGGTGGTGTTTTACAAGGTGCGCGCAACGTGTCTGAAGAGCGAGGACGGATGCAGTGGGGAGGAGTGAGAAGGGTGCGCGACGTATTTGAGGACCGGCAGGGAGGCGCGGGATTTCCCGGAGATTATCACTTGTTTGCAGGGATCCGGGAGTCTCTGTGCATTTGCGTGAGACTCCTGAAACTTCCGGGAAACCTGGAATTTTTGTTGAATGACCTTCCGCCCTGCTCATAATTCTCTCTTCATATAGCCGTATGCCTATTACATATCCATAAAACACTGTGATATAACCGGGCTCGGATCGTATCGCTTTCTCACTACAATCAATCTGCTCCAGAGTTTGTTTTAATCGAGCCGAGACCACCTCATTCAAGTGATTTTGGAGCAATTGTTTTGGCGCGGATCCGAGAGCGATGGTGGATTCACAAATGCCAAACGAACCGCGCCAACTGGGCAAACAAGACAGGTTCCGAAGCAAAAGTCTAGGTGTGAAAGCACCATAAAACAAACAAAACCATTAATGAAAAAACTAAAACTAAACTGAAATGTACAGCAAATTTTAATATAGTTACTGAAATAAACAAGTTTCTCACCTGAGAATCTGCAGTAAACTCTTCTGAAACAGTGCGCTCATTACAGAGATACTGCAGCTTTTCCCTCTTGCTGATGAAGTAATAACCCTCACTGCGTGCACAACCTGTCAAATGATTCCTGACCCCATCCAACCATCTTCTCGGCCTGTCGTCAGAAGTGCTGGTTGGTGCACCAGAGTCAAGAAACAAATAAAAGAGTAATGTACATTCATAAAACATAAAAAATATACAAAATAAAAAACAAAAAAATCACACATTTAAATACTTTCACTATGGCATGTATTATGCTTTTAAGGATATGAGGATGTGGGATCCAGCGAGTTCGTCTCAACCAATCATATTCGTTATCCTCCACCACAAGCCTCTCATAGGAGGCCTTCAGGTGCCGGATCTCCTCTTCATTCACTCCTTTAGTCCACACAGCATGAAGGACCAACTTCTCTCTTCTCTTAGAGCGTGGAGTGAAGATAAGATGAGGAGTCAATGAGGAATCTCTCCTCACATAGGACGACTCTGAAAGCCTTTGAGTCTCAATCTGCTGACTATTGTTTGATTCTTCTGTCCTGATGTTTGAGACTCTGTCCAAAGGCTCCAAACTTTGATTTGTAGGTTTTGTTGTCGCACTACTCACTTGTAAAGATGAATGAGTATTTAGATCAGTGCATCGTCTTGACCGTTGTAATTCAATCATTCGTTGTCTTTTTTTAAGACGCTCTCGTCGCCTTTTCAAGCGTGCCGTGTCTGAACGAGGTGTGTGACTATTATTTTTACTAAAATTGTTTGTTTGTACGTCTGACTGTGCAAAATCACTGTTACGATGACGCTGTCCATATTTCAACAGCTCTCTGTGTTGAACATGTCTTTCTCTGTGGTTTAGCACAGGTGGAGACAGAGACATGTCTCTCCCTGGGGTCCTTGGAATCCCGCTGTCAGCAAAAGAAGACAGAAAGGGATTGCAGGGGCTTTCCAGTGTTCGTGAAGGCTCTTGTGGTGGTGTTATTCTTTCAGAGTGAAAAACAAAACCTGGATCATTGACTCTGCCTGGTGTTTTTGGGATTTCCTCATATCCAGGATATGATGACAGGAGAGGAATACCGTAGTAAAGGGGTGAGGATGGAAGTTCTTTTATGCCTGTAGGAGATGGAGGAGGTGGTAGTGGTGTCGGTGGACCTGGTGGTAGAATGTTATTTTCATCATCCTCTAGTTCCAGACATCTACCAGGAGTGTGTGGCAGATCTACCTCCTCGATGGCCGGAGGAGAAAATTTCCGTCCCATCTCTATGTCAGGGTCACTGTCGGACAAGAATCCAGTGGGTGTGATGGGTCTGAGGTGCACGGGATCCTCCAGCGCTTCCATGATGACTCTCTGGTCCTCTGAGTCTGTAGTGTACTGGGTCTCCAAATCATCTGAAAGCACAAAGATACATGATGCAACTAACAATTAGTTGAAGATATGATATTCAGTTTGATTTGATTGATCTGATATGCCAATTATGCACATGTTGGTCTACTGTATGTATAGGTCTATTTGTTTATGCTATAATGTAGGGCTGGGCGATTTGGCCTAAATTCAAATCTCGATTAATTAAATATTTTACCTCTAGTCCAATTAATGAACGATTATTTAATTTTTTGGCCTCATAGTTCACTGACAAGCTTTGTACATTAAATATGCTCACATATTACAAGTGATTGATTTCTGAGTGAAGGGCGCATTACTTGATTTTAAAATAATTCAAGGAAAAGCACAACAATCTATGATTATTTATTGAACATCATAATAGAATAAATGCTGTCTCAAGGCATCTCTGGCATGTAGTAACATTTTTTAAAGTGGTGCGCAGGTATACAAGCGTATACAAGGTGTTAACGAAGCGGGGTCACGTGACTCCACACACGGTAGGGAAATTAATTGAAAAAATTGACATGGAAAAATTTGATCGATTATAGGTTATGAATGTCGATTTCTATTACTTTTCGATTAATCGCCTAAGCCAAATTGGGTAAATTTTTTTTATGTAAAGATTACAATATGACATAAAAAGAACATTTAACTGAGAAATATAGTTATAGTTAGTTAGTTAGTTAGTGAGATAGTTAGTAAAAGTTTATTGTCCCTGACAGGAAGTTTGTTATGGACATCACCATATTGCTGCAGACATTCCATAAAAACAAACAATAAAAACAATACAAAATAAAGTAGTTACAATAATTATAATGCTAATTAGTTCAACTTTTGTTAAGTAAACCCACTGAAACTGGTACCAAGAATTTCTGATATCGGTTCAACTTACACTTTGTGACTCTGTATCTCATACATACCAGATTCATATTGTGGAAACAAATAAAAAATGAGTTAGATCATTTAGAATCCTTTCCACCTGATGGAGGACACAATTCTCATATAAAACTTGAGGATTAAAATATTCATCATGCCAAACAATTTTCCATCATGTGTTTAAGTGATGCATCAACGTAGATTTACACTGTACAGATACTGATACCACACTGTGATACCATATCTTTCAAGAACAGCTTTATGAAACAGCATCATAAGCTTCTTGTTAACTCTAAAAAGTCCCCAAAGTTAAAATGGCTAATGGAAATGCACATATTACCATAATATAAGAGTGCTGTTTAAATGAAGATGTCTTTTTAAAAATTGTTATTAAAGCTCAAAAAAAATTTTTATAATGCTAAAAAAGTATAAATATTTCCAGATTATACCTAATGACTGTCTCAACAACATTATAATCACATAAATGTTCAATTTCAGTTTTTCACACCACTCTTTGTATATAAGTATATAACTTAATAAAATAAAAAGTAATTACAGGAATGAAGACCTTATGAAAATCACATTTTTATATAGATTTAAGATTAAGAGCAATTTTGTTCAATCTTTTATAGGACTTTTGTCTCACAAAATTTACTCACACTTTACTTGTTCCAAACATGTTTGAGTTTTTTTTCTTCTATTGAACACAAAAAAAGAGATTTTGAAAAAGATTTGGAAACCTGCAAAAGCACTGACTTCCATAGTATTTGTTTTTCCTACTATGAATGTCAATGGTTACATGTTTCTTACTTTTTTCAAAATATCTTTAGTGTTTGACAAAAGGAAAAAAAATAAAAAGAATTATTGCAAAAAACTCTGGTTATATGTTGAAAACAAAATTGTAAAAAAAAAAAAAACAATTATCTTAAAAAAATTATTTATAACTACAGAAAGTTTATTTTGAGGGATCTGAAACTAGGACATATTTGAAAAGAGTGATTACTCAGGTAAAAAAAAAATAAATAAAACCCGCACCTGATAATCCTCTGTATGTAGGAGAAGGTGGGCTTGGCAGCTCTGATTCCTGATCTGAGAAGAATATCACAGGGTCTGGAAGCTTCAGTTTGTTTGTCAAACAGTGTTTCACAGGGTCCTGTAAGGTGTATCTGAGAGGCTCAGGCAGTTTTAGTCCCTGCATATACACTCGTACACTCAGTTCTTCCTCTGGGTCTTCCATTTGAGCTGGATCCAAATCTGAAGCAGAACCACATATCATATTGTTTAACAATGATGATTAAACCATGAAGATGAAGATTTATTATTATTATTATTTATTTTAACAGCTGATTGCTACAACTTAAAGATAACTATGAAAAAAAGATATTAATTCTCAAAAACACAATAAATGAAACATGTAGATCCATTTTAAATAGTAAAATCTGTATTATTGGTCTGCATATTACAGGATTTTAGGTGGTGAAGGTATAAAAGGTTCATTAAATGATTAGCTCTTTTCAAAATGACCTCTGTTTGCCTTAACCATTTACTTACCATCACATCTTTACAAACCCATAAATCTTTTGTCAAACCTTAAAACAAATAGAGATATTTTCAATTAAATATGAAATCTGTGTCCTTCCATTAAAAATGTATTCATCCTAAATTATGATGCCTAAATATTTTGTCGTATCAAACAGCTTGAAAAAAAAGAGTTTTGAAAAAAATCCTACAAATATGACAAAAAATATAAAGACTTATAAACATAAATCTAAATAGAAATTTGTGTTCCAAATATGAAAATATTTGTGGTATGTTTGAAATGACATGAATAAACGATGACAGGATTTTCAGTGATGAACCCAGTACATCTTGTCCATTCAGTGGCCTCTAGTGGAAAAAAATATTATTTATGGTTTTGTTTTTATTTTGGACACATGGAGGCTGATTTAGGCTTAATATCAAAACATCATTATCATTGATAAAAAAAAAAAATCAATGAACTAACCAAAAAAGTCATTGTCTACATCACTTTCGATTGAATCTGGAGCTGATGGGGTCACAGGGGGTTGGAGATCTTCTTCCGAGTGCGGTGAAGGTAAGAAAACAGGAGTGTGAAGAGTCTCTTGGTTTTCATCATCATCCTCATCTGAAGAAATCCATATAGTCTCTACTACCCTTCTGTCCTCACGAGGAGTTTCAGGAGAACTTTGACCATCTGACTGATCATCCTCAGCAGAAGACACAGATGAGGACTCGTCGCTTCTGTCATCTGAGGAGACAAAGACAGGTCTAGAGGAAACTGGGGAGTCGATAACAGACGGAGAACAAGCTGAGTAGTGAGAGGCACTTCTGGGAGAGGCTAAAGAGTCGTATCCTTGGCTTTTAGAAGCAGATGAATTTGAATGGCTGAGAGTTTCTGAGGGATAAAAAGAGAAATATAATGAAGTTGTAAGACCAAATGTATAAAAACAGATATTTTATTAAACTACAGTATAATTGTTGAATAAGTGCATATTTGAGGACGTTTTTGTTTATATTTATACTGTGCCGTACAAAAGTATGGAGTCTGTATTTTTTGTTTATGAAAGAAAAGTCTTATGCTCATAAAGAAAGACAAATTTAATATATTTTATAATATAAATTAATTTTTTTAATATATTAAATGTAAATAATGGCAATAATTTTATGCAACAATGAACAGAAATGATGAATACCAGTATCTGTATCTTCATCATCAACGATAACACAGGGATCACTCGTCTGGTCTTTAGTAACTTTTTTAATGTCAACCTGCAAAAAACAAGACATCATCAAACTGTGCCTATCAGTACAACATTATCTAATTTTATATTATGAACAAATCTTTTATTTTATTGAAACAATACCCGATCACATGCATGAACTTGTTCTGGTTTTGGATCCTCCGCCTTCTCTGAATTCTCTTCATCATCCTCCTCTTCACTATCTAAGGCTAAAGGCCTGGAATGCCTTCGTTTGACCATGGTGTCTTCACTGGCATTTAAGACTGTAGTTTCATCAACACAATCTGGGGCTGTTTGCTGCTCTGACTCTTCATGAAATAAATGTTGGGAATATTTTGTCAGTGTATACAATCTACTTCATACAGTTGCTTTGTTAATGATATTGCAAACCTGTAAAAGCCTGTTTCCTAATAATTTCTAAAATAATTCAAACTGATATTGTTTCCACACTTGAGCATCACTAAAGCCAAATGAAAGAGGCATAGGCTGTTGGCTTAAAAGCTTAAATGTGGACATATATTAAAGCAGTAATATATTAAACCAGTAAATTAAACCAGTAATATATTAAACCAGTAAAACTGTGTAGGTTTAACCCAATACTGAATAAAGGTGTTCCTTATGATCCCACATTCTGTTTATTTTATACAAACCTGGTCAATTTAGTGGTAAACACTAATATATGACAACTAATTGGGTTTGCTCTTATGTGTTTGTCTTTCTCTTTTTCTTTCTCTATCCTTTATTTAAAACAAATGCAAATAATATTAATTAAATTTCTTTTTGGCTTAGTCCCTTTATGAATCTGGGATCGCCACAGCGCAATGAACCGGCAACTTATCCAGCACATGTTTTACTTAGCGGATGCCCTTCCAGCTGCAACCCATCACTGGGAAACATTTATACACACCCATTCACACACATACACTATGGACAATTTAGCCTACCCAATTCACCTATAGTGCATGTCTTTGGATTTGTGGGGAAAGCGACCTTCTTGTTGTGAGGCAATCGTGCTACCCACTGTGCCACTATACAAATAATATATATATATTTTTTTTTTAAATATATTAAAAAGTCAATGCCAAGCTAACCTTCATCTTCAGAGTGTTCAGGACCAGGAGAAGGACATATCCTTTTAACATCTGTGGAGCCCTGACCTGATGGACCCTTCCTCTTTAACCAAGCATAAAGACAAAAAAATTAGAAATCACCATTCATTATCATGAAAAAAAGCATATTTTATACATTTTGAATACATTTTTTTCTTGATCAAACAGTGGATCCCACGATCATAACACATAGCCTAATGTTAAACTATATGGAAAAAGTAATTATTTATTTGTAAGAGAAAATCAAGTATTTCAAAGCTATTTAATTATAAAAGTTGCAGGGCAATTCAGACAGGACATTGAATAATGTTTATATAAATGTACATACTGTAAAATAAATAAGTACATAAAAAGTATCATGTTTGTACCTTAAACGATGGCAATTTAATGGCACCATGTAGACTCTTTATTTTTCCTGAGTCCAGTATACAGCCTTCACCCCCAGCAGTCCCTAATCTCAGGCTCTGCTCCATCACTCTGAGTTTAATGTCTTTATTTCCCACCGATTTAACAGCTGGGGCAGATACCTGGAGGTGCAAAACATGATTTAAAGAGTTAGTTCACCCAAAAAAATTGAATTACATTGTTAATTAGCCACTCTCGTGTCATTTCACTCTCCTGAGACTTTGTTCATCTTCAGAGCACACAATAAGATATTTAAGGGTGCTTTCACACCTGTAGATAGTTTGTTTTGTTCTGATACAGAGATTAAAATTGTTACAATGTTTATTTTTGTTCCTGGTCGGACCAAAATACTTTAAACAAGTCATGTGAAAGTAAACTTTCCTCACACTGGTCATTGGTTCCTCCGCTCATCTGTCATACATTTTTATTTTTATTTATGATGATAAGCAATAAGATAAGCCAAAAGGTGCACTTTAATTTTGACACCCACATCCTCACCAAATAAAAGGTCAGACTTTCTCATATATAGCTTATTTCAGTTGTCAAGTTTTGTAAAAATATATCTATTATCTATCTATAAAAAAACGTTGGCTTAAATTATGCATTATATGCTTAAATTATAGAGAGAAATATAAGATAAACCAAGACTGCAGTCAGACAATGAAGCAGATCTATGTTGATCTTTCTTTCCGGGGTGTCAGTGCAGAAATGAACAAAACAACAGGGCAAATACAAAATATAATAAGATTAAAATATGGAAAAGTTATCAGGTGTTAACTTCAGGAATATATATATGGCAATTACATATTAATAATACACTGTGATATAGCCTGGTTCGTTAGTTCAGAGGATTGTTTTTCTTTCTCACTACAATCGCTCCGCTCCGGAGATTGTTTTGATGCAATTGATTTGTTGTGAATTCGAGCATGATTGCTGGATTCACATATGCCAAACAAACCGCGCTAACTGGGCAAACGAGACAGGTTCCGGAACAAATGTCTAAATGTGATAGCACCCTTAGATGAAATCTGAGAGCTCCCTCATCCTCCCTATTCTGTAAGTGTCCTGAGACATTCAAACTCCAGAAAAAGAACCAAAAACATTGTCAAAACATTACTCAGGGTAATCATACAAAGCTCCAAAAACACTTTTTTGTGAACACTTTGTTTGCCAATGTCACTCGTCAAGTCGTCAGGATGTTAATTTACTATGGGCAATACGATGCAGTGTGTTCTATAAGTAATCATACTGTATAATTACAGTTTGAACCTATCAAGTCGCATGTAATGTCAGGTCCTGTGACCTTTTCTTTCTATGTACAGTCAGATATCTTTCTGATTTCATTTGCTATATTTTAATTTGCCTTCAGAAGATGAACAAAAATCTCAGGGGATTGGAACAACATGAGGATGAGTAAAAAATAACAGAATTTGAACTTTTAGGTAAACTAATACTTTAAGGAAAGTAATATTTAAATCACATCATTTAGTTCAACATTACATCTAAAATAAGTAACAAATCCCACCTTGGCTGCCTGTTCTTTGTCATCCCACCACTGATCAAATGCTTTGAAGGCCATAATCTCAATCATCCTGCGATGTATGTCTTTCTTCACGATGGCCCGCAGTTCAGAAGCAACTACAGCCAGAACTCCATCAACTGTGGCCTTATGTGGTGACTCTTTTATGGGGACGTACCCTGGTGGGGGCACTGAAGGGTCAAACCTGGGAATGGGGGGAGGAGGAGGCCAGGGTGGCCTGTACCTCAACATAGTAGATGAACATCCAGGAGAAGGGTAAGGTGGACGATGAGTCATAAAGCTGAAGGACTGAGGGAGGAAAGAGGGTGACAATGAGGTTTGCCCTTGTGTTATTCTAGTTGGAATAGGAAGAGGCGCCAAACTAGTCGGCCAGTTTGATCGCCTGCAGACTTGCTTGATGATTGAAGGAGGATACAATGAGCAAGAAGATGTAGGCAGAGAGTACCCAGGTAAAAAGGGGTAGTGAACAGATGGCATTGGAGGTGGGGGTATTTCAGACATAGGAGGTGTTGAAGTGCTCCTGTTGGTGCAGATCACTGGTATACTAGACGGCTGGTCTGAAGTATCTTGATCTTCATTTGGATTGACCTAGAAAAGAGTTTGGTACTGATGTGAATGTGTAAATGCTCTATTATATAAAAGTAACCTTAATGTAAAGGAGTCTTAATGTATACATATAATTCAAACCCTGTAAATGTACTAAGTACTCAGAAGGGTTGTACACTTTTCAGAATTTTTTTATGAGACAGTCTGATCCCAAATCCCAAATTTAAATCCCAAATTTACTCAAAACTTTTATCTGAAGAAGCAAAGAAGATGCAACTGAATTAGAATGTTCAGTAGAATTTAAAGTAAGCTGAAATTCAAAGAAATTCATAGAAATTTTAACTAAGGTACAAGAAATTACCTAGCTTGACAGTAACCTTAAATGGTAATTTTACTCACAAATGGAAACAATATATAAAAATATCCTGAATATACAAGAATTTAAACTTTTTTGTGTTCCAAAGATGACTAATACCTTTCAAATTTGGAACAGCATGAGTTTACTGTAAGTAAATTATTAACTTAATTTATTGACACATTGTTAAGTGTCAATTTTAAAATTTTAAAGGTGTATTGGCTATGAGATGAATGAGCGGGTGGATGGATGGATCAATTACTTACAATGGTGCTGGAGGGCATCTTGGATAAGGGCTTCTTTGGTGACGGAAGTTCATGTTTGTCTTCTGCCACATCATACAATGCAGTGGGATTCACATCCTCCATTCCAGATAAATTTTCTCTGGGATAGGAACTAGTATCTCTAACAACAGAGGATATATCATCATAATTTAAAGAAACACCAGTGGTCAGTGACTGAGTGGGGCTGGGGGCTCTGGACGAGCGCTGATGATGATCATTCTCTTCAGTAGACTCTGAGTCTGAACTGTCTTGGTTCAGAAGAGGCAGAACTGGACTACCAGCACTTAAAAGCATCTGGATGCGAGTGTCCAGACTGTCAGGTTTTGACTCTGGAGCAGGAAATTCAGGAGAAGGACACTCAACTGTGGGCTCTGAAATATCTTCAGTTGTTTCAGGAGAAGAGCACAGTTTTGGGACATATGAGTGAGAAGACTGGGCTTGTGATGGATAATGATTTTGGTTCACATCGTAAGTTGTCTTGCTAGGTACCGGTGAAGCAGTTTGAGTTAAAGTATTTTCCGAAGCATACACATTTTTCTCTATATCAGGATGAATGTGATTATTAGTCTTCTCAGGCAGTTTCTCTGAGTAAGGAAGAGATAGTGGATCTTCAACAACAGATATGTGATTAACACAGAGGCCCTTGATTGAGTCGGTAAAATTTCGGCCTGTGAGCTTATCTGAATATAAAGGTGTGGTTGGAGTTTCCTGAAATCTGTTCAAAGTGACTTGATTTGTAGCAAGTGCACGGTGGTAGTGACCTCTCCGATACACAGGTCTGTGTATATAGTGGCGGTGTTGTGGCCTCCGGTTGTATGCATTTTGGTACTTGCTTTCGAGAGGTCTGACTCGATGTCCTCCCCGTACATGATTACTAGGATGAGAATTGCCACCTGGGGTTCTCTGCCTATTTGAGAAGATGCCGTTATGAGAGGGAGTCCCACTTAGCATCCAAAAGTTTTGCACAGCATGTTGAATAGTGCTAGGTTTATTTATAGCTGGTTGACCAGGCTGAAAATGTGAGATGTTCAGGGTGGATTGTTGAATAAAAGGGACAATGGGGCCAGTGTTTATCAGTGTAGATTCATTTGGAGTCCTCTCACACTGAGATGGTGTGCCTGGTCTACTGTGGGTCACAGAAGGGGTGCGAGGAGTGTCTTGGTATTGAGGTGTTTGCCAGAAGCTACTGGGAGTGTCCTGATGCATGCTGGAGTAGGCGGTATCCATAGATAAAGGAGTAGAACAATCCAAAGAAGGGGAGCCATTACATATTGAGGATGAGGAGGACAATGTATATGTGAGCTTCTTTAGTGATTCACACTCCTGAAAAAAACAGAAAAGACTTTATAACAACCTGCATTCTTTGTGTGGATCTCTAATTCTCGCATGTCCGGTATGATGTTATACACATGATGTTGTGTACATCTATATATATATATATATATATATAGTCCTGATTTTAGGTGAGATTAGGGGCTTTTGCACTGGGTGTTTACAAGAACTTAATTATAGGAACTAGCCCCTAGTTCCCCGAGAACTAAATGTACATATCATTATGCTGAGAAAAGATCCCAACATTAACTTCAACTTTCTATATGTGAATGTCTTGTTAGACTTAAAACAGCTTGCCAGTGTTTTGTATATTTTTTTATATATTACACCCCTGTAGTTCCTACTCTTCTATAAAATAGGAGCTAATTTAGCTGACACAAAATGGTCTTCACAGAACTAAAATCATTCCAAGTTCCTGCCATTTGACCATTTATTAACATCACAAAATGTTTGGTATTTGGTCTTCGACTCACAATTAAGGAGTCTGTGATGGAAGATGGTGACTGCGGCCCCCAGGCCTCTTCTTCAACAGGGAGAGTAAAAGGTGTATATAAACCATTAACAATCATCTGGAAGTATCGATGCCTCTTCAAGCCTAAAACCAGTCAGGAATCAAGCAGTGAATGCAAACACAGTAAAAGTTTAAATTGCAAATAATTGCATAGAGATGTTGATGAAAGCTTTTATTTGCCGGATTTTCATAGGAAGTGGAAATGTATTTACCTTTAGGGTCAAGCTCCACATGAATGTTGTTTCCCATCACAGAAGTTTTGTGGAGATTTTTTACTGCATTATTTGCTGCTTTTACAGATTCAAAAACAACCTTTGCTAGTCCTAAATGTTTCTTGTTCTTTGGATTATAAAAAACTTTCAAATCTTGAATCTCTCCAAAGCATTTACACATTTCAGATAGGAATCCATCTCTGATGTTGTCATTAAGTCTTGCAAATGTCAACTCCTTAGGTGCTCCGACATAATACTCATCAACCTAAAAAAAGAAGGATATTGACATTATTTTGTACTTCTGATACAGATGAAAACAACTTATAAATAAAATTATAAACTTGAACTCTGAATGTTGTTAAATTACTTGTTTGGCATCTCAGAGGGCTATGGAATAAAATATAATAACAATTTGCAGAATGAATAATCAAATGTTGTGCAAGCTGTACTTTTGATCCCAAACACAATGCTGCTAAATTTATATCGCAACAATGTTTCTAAAAATATTTGTAACACTTCAGTATATGTATATAGGGTGTACCAGATTATATTGTAATAATAAATAGTAAATGTTTAAAAACTAAATTAATAAAACAATTATATTTAACACATTTTATTTTTTAAGTGAACCTGTAAATAAAAAAATAACATAATTTGTTAATATTTAAATTTGTGCTATGTATTGGCTGCACAGTGGCGTAGTGGGTAGCACAATCGCCTCAAAGCAAGAAGGTCACTGGTTTGAGCCTCGGCTGGCTCAGTTGGCGTTTCTGTGTAAAGTTTGCATGTTCTCCGTGTTAGTGTGGGTTTCCCTCTGGGTGCTCCGGTTTCCCCCACAGTCCAAAGACATGTGCAATAGGTGAATTGGGTAAGCTAAATTGTCCATAGTGTATGTGTGTGAATGGATGTTTCCCAGTCATGAGTTGCAGCTGGAAGGGCATCCGCATTGTAAAAAATATGCTGGATAAGTTGGTGGTTCATTCTGCTGTGGCAACCCCAGATTAATAATGGGACTAAGTCGAAATGAAAATGAATGAATGTTATGTTTTATAAGATGTATTTAAAAAGCAAACTATTATTTGTTGTAAATTTAATTTATGTTATAACCAGTACTAACCTTGAGTTTGGGGACTGGAAGATCTGCGTTTTTAAATTTTGCCCAAAAACGAGTAATTCTTGGATCTCGTACAACATCCACCGGAAAACATTCAGGATGCTAACAGACAACAGTTAAGGTTTTATTTGTACAATTCAGAATACAACTTAACTCCATAATGAAAATGAACCATGGTTATATTAAAGTAAAAACCTAGTAAAAATATTGTTTGGCAGACTGTTAAACATACCCTTAATATACGGTAACTTTTTTTCTTTTGTACAGTAAGTTACATGGTAGTGTAGCAAAACTATAAAGAATTAGTTGATATCCATGTTTTTTTTTTTGGTTGTAAAAACCATATGGTTCATTTTCATCAGTTTTTTTATTTTTAGCTCATTCAGTCTAATAACTAAAAATGACATTACATAATATGAATATTAGCAAAATATCATTAATGTCCTTGAACTCAGATGTACTCACGGGTTCGCTGAAGTGCTGTCCATCATATCGGTACACTTTCTGACTTCCGCTGGTCAAACCCGGATCAATAATCAGTTTATAACAACTCCAGTTTGGAGCTGCATCTTCCAAGGGATGGAAGCTGTCGTTAATTATCAAATCATCTAAAACAGAGTATCACAGAACACGGTAAAAAATCGTGAGTACGCGACGGAAGCTGACTCATGAATGAAAACAGTATCGTTACATAAAGGCCTAACGATACAAACAGAATTTCTTACCGTTAACTTTCCGTTGACCCTCCTTTTCGACGCTTTCGCACATGATTCGCAGTCATTGTACAATGTTAGAAATGTCTCTTTATGTGGCGCTGATTAAAACGATATTTCCAGTAATTATTTGAGAGGCTGTTGTTGTCAGGAGTACAGTGTGTGTCTTGCGTGTCTCCCAGGAGGAGCAGCTCTCATCACCGCAGCACAACAGGTGGGAGGAACCTGCCGCCACACCCGCGCTGCTCAGGACACACACACACGCACACGCACACACACACACACACACACACACACACACACACACACACACACACACACACACACACACACACACACACACACTCTACATCACTGCAGAACAGCGATTCTCCTGCTGTTCACATCAGAGAAAGCAATGCATTTAATAAATAAGTGGAAAAAAATGGGTTGTTGACGTGACGTTGCATTATCACTGCATGTCACACATGAAAAAAAAGAAAATAATTGGAATATAATTAATGTCATCGTTTAAAATTTAAATGGTTAACTTTGTTTTCCAATGGACCACTTGTTATAAATCCTGCTATTATTTTTATTTTACAGTTTTGGCTTGAGCCAAATCTCAAAACTGTCCTATAATGTGACTGTCTCAAGCAGTTTAATAAATAAATTACTCTTAATGATTTTACAAGCTAATTTAGTAAATGACAAAACATTTCTCAAGTTCATAATTTACTTTTTTGGAACCACTATAAAAATATTTTGTTGGTGTGACTCCCCTTGTTGAAAATATCCAAGATGAAGAGCAAAACTATTCATAATTTCATATAACTTTTATGTGTCCAACAATAAAGATAAATCACTTTCATATTACTGTCTATAATATGATATAATTCTTTAGATGGTCATATAGACAAATTCTGCAATACCTCAGAAGGTATATTGTGATATTGATTTATACAATGGTCTTACAGTTTACTTAGTGTTACAGCAATCCCTAGTCTATCTTTAAGAATAAAATCTCCTGAGATGGGGAAATGTCGGTACTTTCCTGCACAGACACAATTCATCACCTTGGAATCATAAGGTTCTATCAGTGTTCTGAATGATTTTGAGATATTGAGCTTCAAAGTTTTTGCATTCCAGTACCATTGAATTTCTAGCATGCTTCTTGTGGCAAAATGTGAAAGAGTTCACCTTTGACTTTGACTAAATGTAAACCAGATGAAAAATGGATGAGACCTACTGAAATCATAATTACTTCAAACCATATATCATTTTGTTATTTTTTTACAGCAGTTGCTGAATATTGAAAAAACTGTGATGAGAAAAGGTGACAGAAACAATCTATCCAGTGGCCTCTTTTGTGTATTTAAAAAAAAAATGAATGTAATTTTTTTCCAAGGCAGTTTACCATCAACAAACTTTTTAAGATGGTTAGTGGTTAGTGGTCGAATAGTGACTGATCCTATAATGTTTTACAGTTTTTGCAGCTACTGTGTGTGTTTGTGGATGTGTGTTTCTTTGCTTTACTGTGTTACAATTTTACCTATTTTCTATAGAAGTTTGGAGAAAACTGTAACTTTTTGAGGAGGTTTTCAACCCTCTCTCAGCCTGCAATCACCACACAAGATTTAGCTTTCAGAATTGCTTTGTGAAATATTCTTAGAGGACAGGAAATAGGTGTCTTAAATTTAGGACTGAAGTTATGCTTTACTTCAAAGTAATCTCAGGATCCCTTTTGACTTCAGGTGAATTGCCAGTCGATCGTTTTCCTTTTTATTCTGTTTACTTAATATTTGTAACGTGTGAATGTATAATGTGGAGAGACAGACGGATCAATAATTGTATTGTAATTACTGTAAATAATTGTATTGTCTTTCATCACGTATTAAAGAAGAAAGGTACAATCAGCTACAAGTCACTGTTTTTTACTGTATTCATTCTCCCTGTTTCTGGCACACAGATTGTAGTTAGAAAGAGCAGGAGGATAAATAAAACAGGCCCTAACTATGCCAACAAAAATGCCTTGAGAAAATTGGTGAATTAGCTAATGTCTTTACCGATATCTTTTATTGACCTTACCTTTGCACAGCTGATTATACAATCATATAATCTTTGCAAATATTTCAAATCATTCTTTTACATTCTGTTTATAAATTTTATGTTAAAGTCTGCCAAAAGCTGTAATACAAATGAAACAAATATTTAATCAACGAATCAATGTTTCTTCCCAAGTTCTACTTCTGGCACACAATGTAAGAAAGCAGAGAAACAGACAAAAACCATCTAAATTAATAAATGGGTTATAAAAAGACATTACCATATACACAAATAATACATCTTTCAAGTGTTATTAATGTGGAAAGTGTTTAAAATATGAAGGATCCCTGATTTATCACATGAGGCTTCACACCGGAGAGAGGCAACTCACTTGCCTTATGTGTGAAAAGTTGTTTGTACATAAACACTCTACATTCATTCATTCATTTTCTTGTCGGCATAGTCCCTTTATTAATCCGGGGTCGCCACAGCGGAATGAACCGCCAACTTACCCAGCAAGTTTTTACGCAGCGGATGCCCTCCAGCCGCAACCCATCTCTGGGAAACATCCACACTCACATTCACACCAACACTCATACACTATGGTCAATTTAGCTTACCCAATTCACTTGTACCGCATGTCTTTGGATTGTGGGGGAAACCGGAGCACCCGGAGTAAACCCACGCAAAGGCAGGGAGAACATGCAAACTCCACACAGAAACGCCAACTGAGCCAAGGTTCGAACCAGCGACCTTCTTGCTGTGAGGCGACAGCACTACCTATCGCGCCACTGCCTCGCCAACACTCTACATGCCACATGAAAATTCACACAAAAGAGAAGAATCAGAAAATTCTCAAATCAGAGTGAAAAGAGTTTCACATAAACTTTTAAAAGGCATTAAAATTTATCACCCCAAGAGAAGCTCTTCACCTGCCCTCAGTGGGGAAAGAGTTACAAACTTAATGCACATCTTAATAATCACACAAAACTAAAAACAAATGAAAAGTTTAGATGAAAAACCCTTTAAATCTACCAGACCTTTGCTTTTTCTATCAGCCTCCTCTGATAAGGCTCAACAATTTCATTTTATATGTAAAAATAAGGTTATTAGCTAGTAAATAAAATTACTTTTTTTCATAAATGTCACTTTAGACAACTCTTTGGTTTTTAATGTGGTAGATTTTCTTTTGCGTCAAAACCAGCTAAATCCACAAGTGCTTCTTTTTTTTTTTTGCAAAAACATCTAAATCCACCCATTGGGACAAGACATTGTAATAAGTTGAAAATCACAAAAGATCCGATTATAAATTATTTTACCAAACATAAAACACATTACACAAATCACCTAAAATTAAAAAAACATAAATCTGTCAAGTAAGGGGCGGTTCATTCCAATGTGGCATCCCCTGATAAATCAGGGACTAAGCCAAAGGTAGACGAATGAATCAAATCTGTCAAGTGCTTTAAGTCAATAACAATAAAACTGAAATTAATAAAATCTAAATGATCTATTGCCATTTCTGATATTTGGCATTATGATTTAATGTGTGTAGAACAATGTAAACATTTTAAACTAAGCATAGATACAAATAATGTAAAATGCATACAGTGAAAAACATTCTGATAAAAAAAATCTTTTAAAGTAAATAAAACATAATCCCCGTGACCAGCTGTCATAACAATATGTGCAAAATGCAAATAAAAAGATTATCAATTCAAATATTTTGGTGTACTATAAGAGCAAAACGCTGAGAAACATCAATATCTGTGCAATGTCCAATAAAAAGCTTATTAGGCATATAGTATAAAGTAATATAAATAATTTGGCTGAGTCCCTATAAGTTAACCTGTCATATAAAATAAAAATGTTTTGGAAACTCAATACTTGTATTGCATATAGACTATGGTCAACTTTTGAAGTTACTCATACACATCAGCTTATGGCATATTACCGTTAAAATGAAACGTTTCCAGCAAAATATGACGCTCTAAAAAAAAAAACTCCATCGGCACTGGTAACTATGAAAAACACGACTGAGCACTAATAGTGTACTCAACACTTTACACTGACATTTGAAGGATCACCTGACATTAAAGACTGAAGTAAGAATGCTGAAAAAAACCCATCAGATTTTAGCCCAGAAGAGTTTCTCTTTTCCTAAATTAAAGCAAAACTTCATAATATTGTGTTTATGAATTAATTTGTGTGTGTGTGTGTGTGTGTGTTGCACTGCTGGAGTGAAGGTTAACCAGTCCACACAGTTCATGCGACTATAATCTTTATTATCTTTTATTAATAAACTATGTACAACATTTACACGTCGGCTCCAGGTCTCTTGGATGAAGGTCTCTCAGCGACGTGGTCTCTTCTGGTCGCTGCGCGTCTCTGGTGAAGATGGGGAGCGGGACCGTTTCCCTCCGGCGTCCCGGACCGAAGATGCCGCACCTGCTGAGGACGAGGAGGGCAAAGGCTCGGTCTGGCAGGAGAAGGACGGCCTCTTTCTCTTCTCAGCAGCATAGGCCTCACTGAACAGATCGAGCGCAAACACACACAAGCAGACATCATGTGAGATTTGGACAAACACTAGAACATGCGGCTATGCCAAGTACAGTTTACTCACGCGTCTATGATGGGAATGACGTATCTGCCGCTGCCGTCTATCATGACTCCCTTTCGGTCTGGGTCGTCCACCTCCAACAGGAAGCTGCGGGGAATCCCTGTGCTCTTCCGGATGCGCTTGTGCGGAGCGGAGCGGCTGCCCTGTGAATTGAGGAGTGACAGTCAAACTCTGAGCAAACAATCTGACTGATGAGGACAAGAGCTCAAGTTCACAGCAACCGTGAGCTTGGAAAACCCAGTTACCACATTAGTGGGGCAGTGCCTAATGTGGTGTCCCGGGATCCCAAGCAGCCTCATGGCCTCACTAGTGAACATCAGAACCATGAGAATCAGCTCAGACATCTCTCACAAAGCAAACCTGTCGGTGTCTGAACGCTCACCTGCTGGAGTAGTAGCACAGGCTGGACTGGTACATCACCGCTTTCAGCTTGTCCTCCTCTGACGCCTTTGCCTCAGCCAGATTCTCAGTCTGTTTCACAGGCATTTGCACATTTGAATCTTTTTCACCCTCAACCCTTCAGACAATCTCAAATCTCCCTAAGAAGCTGAGTGCGTGTGCGTATATTGTGTGCTTTACATTGCGTTTTGCTATTGTGCTATTCATTTGTTCAATACCTTCAACAACTGCTCCAGTGAGAGGAGTGAAGGATCAGCTCTAGGTGAAGGTTCACGCCAGCGTCCAGCTTGATGTCTGCAAAACAAAGGAGCTTGTGTGACTAAAACACCAGGGACAGACCAGGAGTCTTCATATAACATCTAACAGAGGACGCGTGTGCTCATTTCACAGCACTTACCCAACAAATCTTCTGTTTGAGGACTTCAGTCCCGCCGCAGGCATCCGTCTGATGATGACCGACGTGTTTTTAGGGATGAGAGCATCATCTGTGTATTCTGACAGCAAAATAAAATCAGAATCAGCACATAATTATGGAGCACGGTATACTTTGAGAGCCATTAGCCTTTTAAAACAGCCAAAACATCCCTACATGTCAGCATCAGCACCACCTTACAGCTTCCAGAAGTGTCTGATATAACGCATCTAATGTTAGCGTAGAACAGTTGAAGTGTCTTTTCCTCAACTCACCTTCATCAGTCTGGGCGTTGCTGATCTTCAGCTGGCAGAACTTCAGCCTCTTGCTCCTCATGATCTCCGCTTCAGCTCCCCCGCGCTGATGTTGAGGCCTTCAAACTGGAGCGAGTCGTAGGTGAGTCGACTCTGGAACCTGTAGTGAACACAAGACATACTGAACACAAACACAAAGCACAGCGTAATAAAAAGGGTCAAACCTGAGTGATGGGAACAGCAGGCGATCAATCGACGTATCCAACGATCAATAATATCGATAATCTGGAAAAATTGTCACGGAGGACGCAGAGATCAGATGCCAATCGACACAGCGAGATTCAAACAACACCCACAGGACGGTTGTCATGGATGCTGATGATGAACACGTGACGCATGCGCTGTACAACTTCCGGCAATATTATTATTATTAATATTAATTTTATTGATAGTAGTAGTAAAATCATTGCGATAAGTATAATAAAATAAACAGCAGAACAGTTGGCCATCTCTGAATAATACACAGCGACGTTTCCCTACACGAACGATTCAGGCCTTCGCCAAGAAGACTCGGGTGAGTCGATGATTCAGGGATTGATTCAACTGTCCGTTCATCCTATTGGCTTCTTTGGCTGAATGAATCGTTCAATGCTTTACTCAAATAAAGCGGCCTCTTGCTGCCACATATTGGGGGTTTGGTTTTTTGTTTTCAAAAGTACTTTGACACTTTTTTAAAGGCACCTTTAAGTTCATTTTTGCACAAAAGCTCGTCTCTGTGCGTTCCAAATGGTTTGAAATTTCCTTAGCACATGGTTTTCTTGATGCGTTTGAAATTTTCAATGTAAATCCACTCGTACTTGCATTTGATCTTTATTATGCCTTAAAATCAAAACTATACTAAAGGTGTCTTATCCAAATGCATATTTTCATTCAAAACGTTATGACAGAACCATATTACTTTACAGTGGCCCATGGATATATATATATATATATATATATATATATATATATATATATATATATATATATATATATATATATATATATATATATATATATATATATATATATATATATATATATATATATATATATATATATATA